GCCGTTCCTCGCATCAGGAGCTTCGGCAATGCTGCAAGGCCTGTGAGAAGGCCCCTACGCGAGATGCTTCATTTCACCCTAAGCCCTCAACCCCAAACCCCACCCTGAATCCGTGCAGCCCCCAAGACCTGGCTAGGCTTCATGAGAAGTGTGGGTGGGGCCAAATTATGCTATAGTTCTATCGGGACTGCAAGGAGACAGTCTTACTAGTTAGTTAAGGAGACAGGTATCGTCGTTGGTGTTTCGGAACGGAGGACGGTCCTCGGGGCACCGACAACTCTGTTGCCAAAGGAGTCTCAGTTCGGGGAAACTGCAGTGCAACCTGTCGTCTAGGCGCGAGTATGCCCTGGGTTTTGGGGTTTAGGGTTTAGGGTCCTGACCTTCGTATCGTGCCTGAGCTTCCCAGAGGTTGTTGTCAGCTTGAAGTTCCCCGTCCCTAGGTATCACCCATACTGATCGTACATCTTATTGTCAGGGGAGCGCAAAGCTCATCGAGCTTCCGCCACATACGAGACAAGTTAAGCGCGAACTCTTTAAATTCAAAACCAATCATTCCAAGTCCTCAATCTTCATCCCCAGAAACCCTTAATCCCGAAGCCCTGATCCACAACCCTAGACCCTAAAGCGTACCTTTAAACCCTCAACCCTAAACCCTATACCCTAAACCCTCAAGCTGTTTTGAGCCCTTAAAGCCGTAAGTCCTACTGCCAGGTCGGCCTTCTCGTCTTTGGCGACCTAGTCTTCAATCACATGCAGGCTCCGAGGGTTTAGGGTGTGGGGACTTTCGGACTATGATGATCGGCTTCGGCTATGATTTTGGGGTTCTGACTATGATGTAAAAATGTGGGTTTAGGGGTTTGGGGTATGGTTTTAGGATGCGTCAGAATGCCACGGCGCGACCCGGTGGTGGGCCGCGCCGTCCCGCAAAAGGCCTTACTGGTTTCGACTTTGGGGGTTTCGGGGGTTGGCAATGTGAGAGTTTCCGAACATAAGGGGTACCCTATTTTGGGGTCCGTTTAATAAGGATCCTACCGTTTGGGGGTACTATATTATGGTCCTATTTTCGGTATGCTACACCTTTGTGAGAGGTTTCGGGTGGTCGAGGTGCTTTCCCTTTGCTGCTTGCAGCAGTTTTCGAGCTTGGGGATCAGGGTTTGAGGCCTGCTTTCTTGCGGTTGGCAAACAGCGCTTGAGAAGAAGTAGGTCACAGAAACTGGAGTTGCGGATTCACGTCCTTCAAGGCCAACTCAGGATCAATTTTTCCCACCCCTGAGCCCGGAACCCTGGTAGCGGAGACCTTGAGGGCGGTAAACTTCGTAAATCTGACCGTGAGCTGCAAACCCATGTCCGAATCCGAAACAGTAAACTTAAACCACAGACAGCCGGAGATATACAGGTCCCCAGAACATACTCAAAACAAGCAAACACCCAAGTTCCGGAAAGACACATACCTAAAAACTCCCAGCAAGCGAATTCCGTAAAGCCAGAAAGAGGCAAACTCTAAAGCGCTGAATCCTCAAGCCCTCAAGCCCACAATCCCGAATCCCTACAGCCATAGTACCCTAAACCCTGAAACTTGAATTCCTAAAGCCGTACTTGGAGGTTCACGGGCAGTTATAAGTGGGGTTATAAGTCCCCTAATATGGGTTATAATTATGGTTACCCTACTTTTAAACCCCACTCATAACGACCCATGAACCTCCAAGTAGATGCCCGAAAAAATCTAAAGCCACGAAGCCAGCCGACTCAATGAGGTCGTGGCCAGCTGCGACGAGTGGCGCAAGGCGCAGCAGGACGTGGATGGGTTTTAGGGACATGGGCCCAGGGCTTTAGGCAAGCTTAGGGTGCATGGTTTCGGCCTCGAGAGGCTACGTAGAGTTGGGTTTCGGGCTTGGATCAGGGCTTTTTTGGCCTCCTCTCCGATGTGACAGCTTGCTTGAAGACGTTGCGTTTGTTGCTTTCTAGCTGTTGTTGCGTTCCTGTCTGGTTAGTGGATTCAAGCTGTGTGACCTATGACGTCAAGGTCACCGTTCTTGCCGCCAAGCTAGGCATGAAACTTCTAACATTTGGGAGTTTCCAAAAATTAGGGTACCTTATTTTGGGGTCCTTATAATAAGGATCCTATTATTTAGGGTACTATATTAGGGTCCCCTATTTTCGGAAACCCCCATTTGGGTGGCGGCAAGAATCAAGACTCTTGTAGGAGCCCGTGCAATATTGAGACGAGACGACGAGCAGAGAGATGCTGTCACACGGATACACGACTCTGCGCTACTGCAGACGCGTAAACCTGTCGTCAGGGATGAGTTTCAGCAACGACCCGAGACGTAACCCTCAGCTACTTTGAGCAGGTGCATGGTCAACTCGATTCCTGGGTCTGGTTGTGTAGCTCTCCATGTGACGGCTTTTCTAACAGCGCAATGCCAAAGCCGCAGAGCCCTCCAACCAAAATGAAAGTCGCCACTCGGAACCCTGACATTTGAACCTTAAGCGCCAACCGTAAGCGCCGTTCTTTTTCAGGAACACTCGATCCTAAGTTGAGGGCTTCCCTAAACCCTCAATTTACCCCTTGCATTGCAGGTTTTTTTATGGACGGTCGAGGGTTGACGCGATGTCCATGAAGCCCCAGGTTGCCCCTGGAATGAAGATCTTCCGGAAGTGACAGTTGGGGTTTCCGAAAATAGGGACCCTACCCTCATAGAGTACCCTAGATAGTAGGATCCTTATTATAAGGACCCCCCATAAAGGTACTTATTTTTGGAAGCTCCCAGTTGAGGGCATAGGTCTCAAGCTTTTTGCGGCATCCAACAGCCTCAATATCTGGCGCGTTCTTTGTGGCTGTTCTCCTCAGCGACAGCGATAGCGGCGGTTCCTCAGAAGCTTTAGAAAACGTGATCGCGTGTCCCGAGGATGCGGGTCTACTGGAGATTCTCCAGCGCCGGCTCTCGCAGAAGTTGGGCCCGACTTTTGGAAGGTGCGGAACGTGCTCACTGAGGTTTCTCAGGTTTTCTTATTGCTCGATCAGGTGTTCGTCGGGGAAGCTGACGTGAGGGCTTAGAAGCACCCTAAACCCTAAACCCTAAACCCTATTCATGAGGGCTCCTTATCATACTGAAGCCAAACACGATGTTCTACTATGCCCCCAGACCCGGCTTGAACCGTAAACCCTATTCTCATGATTAAGGCCCCCGTACTCGAGCCGTAACGCCCAAAGCAGTTTTGAACAACTTTAGTGCTTATATGTTTCAGGGCGGTCCTATGAGATACCAAACGAAGCCACATGGGTTTGTTGTGGCCTCGTTCTGGTCCTTAGGGCGTGGGAGTGTAGAGTTTCTCGTTTTTGACTGCAAGGTCTACAGCTCCCAAGCTCTGAGCCTTTTCGTCCCCCTTGGAAAGTAAACTCAAACTCCACTTTTTTTTTGTGCGTTGCAGGGATGACTTCGAGTGGCCGTGGTATCCACTGGAGGGCGAGGACCTTGCTTCTTCTTGCTGTCGCGCGTATGTCTGAGGATGTTTTGCGCAAACATGTCTGTAGTTCTCTAAATCCGGGTCCCTTTTTGAGTTCCCAATATAGTACGGCACCCTGAGACAAAGGACCCTACAAGGGACCCTAGTTTAGAGAGCTACCCATGTGCTTCCATCTGTTCGGCTTTGCATCATGTTACACCTCGGCCCCGAAACTCCGAAAGCTCCCGAAGGCCTGAAAAGCCACCGTCCCGGGGTCAGGGCTTTGGGTTAGGGTTTAGGGTTTAGGGTTTAGGGTTTAGGGTTTAGGGACAAAACCCCCTAAACTCTACACCTTAACCCCCTAAATCCTAGAACCTAAGCCCCAAATCCCGGCTACCCGGCAGTTGGAAAAGGGAGCGCAAAAAAAAAGAAAAATCAAATCCCAAACCCCAAAACTCAAGAAGCTTGGCAGGACTGGGATGGCCCCAAGCGCATGGAGGGCTGGGGCTGTGGCGAGTGGTCGGAGCTCAAGGTCGGGACTTAGTGTTTTTTTTGTATGTGTTTGCTTGTTTCTTTTCTTTATGAAGGTTTTTTTTTGGTTTTTTGATTGTTAAGCACGGTGGTACAAGGTCTTGCGGTGGCTTTTTGGTGGGATATCTTGTGTGTGGGTTTCGGGGTTTCTGACGGTCAGGGTGTAGCTTCTCTAGGGGTCGTTGAAACAGGGATCCCGCTATCTACTAGGGTGCATATGGGTAGGTCTCTAAATTAGGGTCCCTTGTTAGGTCCCCAACATAGTACGGCACCCTTATAAAAGGACCCCAAAACGGACCCTAATTCTGAAAACTACCCATATGGGGGTTCTCTTCTGCCTCGAGTATTCAGCTCTCAGCCGTGTAAGACACGGTCTGGGGCGAGGGGAAGGGTTGGGCTTCGGCATTTAGGATTTGAGGGTCGGGGTATCGGTATAATATAGGGGCCTTGATAATTCGAATAGGGTTCAGGGGTATATCATACCATAACTTTTATAAGGACCCCCCCCCAAAAACCCTATTCTAATTATTAAGCCCCCTACATCAGGGTGTAGAGTTTCAGCCCCCGAATCTGCCTCGTCAACCCCAAGACAGAAACAGCCTGCACGCCCCGAACATTGGATCCTATACCTGATGATGCCCCCCCCAAGCCGCTGAAACTTCAGCCCTAAACCCCAGCCGCTGAAGATTAACCTCTGCCACCTCTAAACCCCTGAACCCTAAACC